GGGCTAGATTTTGAAAACCTGAAAAATCATTTGATTTCAGAAATAAGGAGTTATCTAAGAGGAACAAGAAGAGCATTGGAAACACTACACTAGATATTAGAGAAAATATGAATTAGGTAAACAGATTATACATTTCTACAGATAATTTCATCAACTGAATAATTAAGCAATTGCTTTATCTTTGGCATATAATGTGCGAACACATATATATATTATCAGAAAACGTGTTCATGCTTAGTAATAAAAAATAATAATGAGATTCAATTGACCACAGAACTTCTATCCATGGTCTAAGATTAAGGTACACAGATACTTCAATTATCTGGCAATGGAAACCTGGAAAAATGTAACAGAACATTGGCTAGAGTTCAACTCAAATAATAGAAGATTCAAGAGACCACCGACCTTCTGGCTTTTATATAATAAATTAAAGACTATCACTCCACAGACAAAAGCCAATGTGGCTGTATACAAATGTGCGAAAAGGGGGAAATCATTAACTCCTAAAGATGTATAAATCTAAATCAATACTCTTTTTAGCAAGAAACGACTTTTCTATATAAATCTAAATTTATAAAGTGGACAAGGTTTGACAATTAGAAATCAACATATTTTAAAGAATATACGGTCACAAGTACATCTAACATAAATAAAGAATAATAAGACTTCAAAACTTTCACGATATTTATATCCAAATAACACAAAACCAGACCTTGGCCCCCATGGGACAATTGGCTGGTTGTCAGCATACTTGATGTCCTTAGAAACCTGCATTTATCGAAGATTTACAATAATCTGAAAATAACATTAATCCCAAAAAAAAAAAAAAAAAAGGGAAGACTGCACACACCACAGACATTTTAGAGTAATGTTTAAACATTGCTTAGATTATGCATGAGGATGAAAATAAGCACCAAACTTTATGTTTATGTGAAGTTTTCAAGTTAACATAACTCTATTTGCATCAGGGAAACAATGGTTCGAAAGATGTTACCTACTTCGGCAGAAATGGTCTTAGAAACTTGGGAAGAAAAATTGAAAACTGTGCTATGGAGATGTGTACGACTAATAATTTAGTAGTGAGAGACACGGGAGAGAAGAGAGAGAAAATAAGGGCAGAATGGGGACTGCTCAACTTCACAATCGGCATGTATGCAGAATTGAATTATATGTAATTTACAAGTAGATACAACTTCTTGTTGCCTAAAGTTAAAGTAAATCAAACATTTCCATTCATTTGTTAATAATGGGATAACAATTATGCAGCTTTTAAAGGTAATTTTCCTGAAACCCAAGTAAGAAACAGCATAATAAACGTACCTTCACTGAGCCAAAAGTAAGACCCTTCTTCCGGTTGGTGAATTGTGCCATCATCACTTTGTCATAAGCTTTCTCCAGCTGGAAATATCATGTTAACTACTATAAGAACCTAGATCTCAAAGTGCTCAGATGCCATAAATTTACTGTAAAATAGAGCTACTTCAGCTAATACATCGACCAGTATACAGATGGATGCAGCACCATACAACCAGAAACTAACTCCTAATACTTTTTTTTATATCCATGATAGTCCAGGTGAGCTTGCGTGTACGGTACAACTGCCTAAATCTTCCCATATTTAGTTATCAAGGAAACTTGCAGTATATTAAATCTTAGGTAGGTGACCACCAAGGCTTAAACTTATTTCCTCTAAACCATTTATTATTTACCAAGCTCTTCTTGACCATATTTCCATGATAGTCAAGGTGAGCTTGCGTGTACAGTACAACCGCCTAAATCTTCCCATATTTAGTTAACAAGGTAACTTGCAGAATATTAAATCTTAGGTAGGTGATCACCAAGGCTTAAACTTATTTCCTCTAAACATTTATTATTTACCAAGCTCTTCTTGACCACTAGGTCAACTCATAGTGGTACTAACTATTTATACACTAATTGTTAGATAATCAAAAAAGCCATCTAAAAGTTAATGAAATTGAAATTGGTGACTTCCAAAATTCACATTTCCGTAAGTTCTGAACTAAGGACTACCAAGTGTCTCCACAATATTTGGTAGTTGGTAGTCAAAAAACAAATAAGACATTTTAAAAATCCTTCGTTGGTTAAATCCAAGGACCTGAGAGAACATAAAATTCTCAAGTTTTAAGGATTACAATTACAAATTTTTTATTATAGCCCGCTGCCAAACATAAACTCAGTGTTCCGTTTCCTTAATGCAGTCATTCCATATCAACTTTTACTTACTTCTAATCATAGCCTGATGCGATAGCATCACATATTAAAGCTAAAGTCGTGCCTATGAAAAGACGTTGGACACCAAGAGAGACGGAGAGGGGTGCAGATGACATACTCTGGCTGCAGCTGCTTCATCACCGTTCCTCTCAGCTTCCTTGCGTTTTTTAGTATATGCTGCTTTGACCATATCAAATCCCTCAATTGGGTTTACGCCCAGAACCTAATATGATGGGAACATTAAAAAAAAAAAAAAAAAAAAGTCAAACAATAATAGAATCCTTAGTTTTCCCATTTCCAAGAACACCCTTTGAGAGATGCAAACTGGATAAAAGTTCAACTACCTCATACGGATTGAAGTCACTGTCTGGACTTGAACTTCCTGCGGCAGAAGCTGCTGAGCAAATAACCATCCTTCTCTCTCGTGTTATTTCTCTAGATCTGTAATTTAACTCCGTGTTATGATTAATTGTTGATGTTGGATGATGAATCGACTAATTTAGGGAATGATCATGGGTTTATAATCAAAGAATACTCTCTCCGTTGGTTTGAGGCCTTTTGGGGAAGCCCAAAACAAAGCCATGAGAGCTTATGCTCAAAGTGGACAATATCATACCCTTGTGGAGAGTTGTGTTCATCTAACATGGTATCAGAGTCATGCCCTACACTTAGTCGTGCCAATAGATTGGTAAATCCTAAAATATCGAACAAAGGACTCCAAAAGAAAAGGAGATGAGCCTCGATTAAGGGGAAGCGTATTTTGTTCGAGGGGAGGTGTTGGATGATGAATCGACTAATTTAGAGAATGATCATGGGTCTATAATCAAAGAATACTCTCTCCATTGGTTTGAGGCCTTTTGGGGAAGCCCAAAGCAAAGCCACGAGAGCTTATGCTCAAAGTGGACAATATCATACCATTGTGGAGAGTTGTGTTCATCTCATAACAGAAATAACGAAGAAGCAAATGCAATTATGTTCACATGAAACCTCATACTACGTAAGCACTTCATCCATCTACTTGTTCGACTTTTCATGAGCTGATTAATCTCAAAGAGTAAAAATTTAAAACATGAAAAAACAACACCCCCTGGCTTTCATGTGAGACTAACACATGATCTAAGCCCTCAGCATACAGATAATTTACCAAGAACAGACCGTCAATTATGATTAAATTTATGCCAACTTGAGTCTGACTCGATTAATTAAGGCATATATTTTTGAATAAGAGGTAAGAAGTTTGAATCATCCATTTGTTCAACTCCGAAACTTATTCTTTCAGTCATGTTTCTCACCTAAACCAAAAGGCTAATGGGCTTCCCAATTACTAAGCAGATGAAAACAATTTCGCAATTCATCAGAAACTTCAGCTTATGAGATACTGCATTTTTTTTTTTTCAGATTACGAAATCCAAAAGCATTTTCATAGATAAGATAAGTCGAAGAAATGAAATAGGATAGCAGCTGAATTCCATGACAAACTCGATATTGTCGTTGCTTTTACATTTCAAGATTTTTGTGTGCTCATTCGCGCGGACTAGCAGCCAAACACGATGGAAAAAGTAAAAACATCGAAGTCCATAGTAATTGATGTCACGAGTCGTTATCATCATGTCGATTACCTGATTGACGACGAATGTAACTGCAAAACGGGGGATTTGGAATGAAACATCTGCTGAGAAAGCCGAAGCTTAGGGCAGTGGAAGATGTAGGAGGCTGCTAACGCCATCGCTCAGCTGTGTCAAAGGCGGAGCGAAAGAGACGAAGAGGTTCCAAACAGTGTATCGTTTTATTATATTTTTTTATCTTTATCTTAAATTAACAAAAATACCCTACACTTTTTACTTCTTTAAATTAAAAAATATTCTTCCAATTAGATTTAAATATAAACGGTTTCTAAAATACTTTATAAACATTTAAAAATATTTCAAAAATACTTTTACCTTATATAAATAAATAATTAATTAATTAAAATTCCTATTGTCGTGTATAAACAAAAACATCTATTTTCGCCCAATAAATCATCTCCCTTTCTAATTTCAAGGATGTTAATAATAACTATTTAAGATATTAATATTACTTTTAAATTAATACTAACAATTTTGTTCGTATACTAATATTTTTTAATTTTATAAAAAAATTAAAAATATTCCTATCAAAAGGTGAAAATTATCGATCAAGTCAAAAATTCACTTAGACCTAAGACCAAGAGTGGGCTAAAAAGATTTAACACCATTGTTCTTTTGTTTCAGATATTTACGAACTCTTGAGTATCAAATTGTAGGTAGTCTGACACCATATTTTTTCGACATATATCACAGGTAAAAGTTGAAATTATTTTTTGAGATTAAATCATATTTTCATGCTGAACTATTAAATCCGTCCTTGATAAGCTATTTTCATATTATGATGTAAAAAAAATATATATTATCGATGTATAAAAGGTCTATTATCTTATTTTGAGTTATAGTTGTGAGATTCTTTAATATATAAGATCATAAAATTCTTGTAAAATCCTTCAAAATAATACACGAGCATATTATAATTTTTCTTCATAATTTAAATTTATTATTCTTAAATTAATAATATTTTCTTCCGATCATAAATTTGCTTATTTCAACCATGTATGAAGGTAAGGACGGTAAACTCTAATCTTTTAAGTAAAAACATATCTTAACCACTTGAGTAATGATCCGAGTTAGTCGACGACGACATATATATAATAATATAATAATGTCTCCAACATATTATAGAATACACTACTGATTGTGTCAACAAAACCTTAGGACTATAATTACATTTGGTTTTGGTTATACTTATACACAACTAACCAGTAGCTTCACAGTTATAAAACAACTGAACAAAAGAATAAATGAATGAATACTTACTTCCCTTATGAGCTTTGCTAAATGACTACGAAGTAACAAGCGCCCCCCACTCTGCATGCCCACCATTACTGGGATCCTTGACCTGCAGATAATGAAGATTCTAATGGGTTTTCATGGGCCAAACCTGTGGGGCTTTGCTGGCCCACTCCATTCAAATCTTTGGAGTAGCTTTCCATGTCGTTGCCAAATTCCGAGTCCTTCTCCTTTACGGCATCAGTTTCTGGTTTGTTGAATCTATGAGATTCACATTCGAGTTTATCGTCTCCAGCAGCTTCCATGTTATGGTTGGTCGAAGCAGTGGGTGTTTGTTCAGTTTCAACTTGAACTTCTTTGGCGGTGATTTCTGTTAGAGGGTTAACTGCTACCTATCAACAGACATTAGCTTTGTCAATTACACAAGAGATTCATCGAAAGATGATCGAAAGAAAAAATCGATAACAAGAAGAATTTATCAATAGTTTGTTTAAGAAAGGTGGAATGCTTTTTAATCAATCAAATTATTGTTAGGTTTAAACATGTAAGATCCCACTTTGGTTGGAGAGAGGAAAGAAGTATTTCTTATAAGGGTGTGGAAACCTCTCTCTAGAAAATCGTGAGACTGACAGCAATATGTAATAAACTAAAACAGACAATATCTGCTAGTACTTAAACTGTTACAAATAGTATCAAAGTCAGACACTGAATGTGCCAACGAGGACGCTAGCTCCCAAAGGGAGTGGATTGTGAAATCTCACATCGGTTGGAGAGGGAAAAGAAATATTTCTTAAAATGGAATGGAAACCTCTCCCTAGCAGACGAGTTTTAAACCGTGAGACTGACGACGATATGTAACAGGCTAAAATGGACAATATCTACTAGCGGTGTGTTTGGACTGTTACAAAACATCTATATGCTCATTACATAAATGTCACTTCATGACATTTATGTGACAAGTTTATCAAAACTTATTCATAGAATTGAGGCATTGGTTGTAGAGTCTGCATTGATATTTAAACTCTGAAATTCTTTCTTAGGGACATAAAAGACAATACGAGGAGACAAAAGAAAGAATTACCTCTTCTTGTATAGTAATTTCTGAGATTTTCAAATCATCATTGGGCGCTGAGCTTAGTGAGCTTAAATTCTGATCCGTTTTTTCACGGTCATCCTTGGCCTCCAATATGGATTTTCCACCATTTTGTTCTGAAAAGCCATTGATGAGCTCACTTTCGACTTCAATGGAATCAGCAGGTTTATTATTATCAGGGGAAGTGATGGAATCCTGCTAAATACATTGAAAATAAAGATAAGGGAGTCAAATTAGTGAGCACATTCTCATTGTACCTTTAATAATCACAGCTAAACTGATAGACAATAGTAGCCTTTCATTTAGCTTCAAGGTCCAAATCACAACCACATCTTCTATTTCTAGAATCATATGCTTATTTAACTCGTTTTTTCTTGGTTCTCTAATCGATTTCTAAATATACTTTTAAAAATTTGAGCAATTTTTCAAGAGTATTTTTACAAAGTGAAAGTGATTTTAGTAGGCATAAAACTAAAAACTAGAAAGTTAAAGCAACAAAAAGTTATTATTTTCTAAACCAAACCTGGGATAAGGAGACTTTATTCATATGGACTTGTTCTTCTATTGAAGACTTTGAAGATAATCCTGCTCTGGTATCCAGAAGCTCTCTTTCAATTACCGAGTCTTGCTCCACAGTTGATTTCATGGCATCATTAGACTTCTGAAGTTCACTCTGCACAACGTTTACTTGATTCTGTAAGGCATCAGAACGTATTATGTCAATGGAATCAGGAGGTACTCCTCCATTGTAGACCAAGTTGTTCTCTACGGTTGATTTCGAGGCATCGTTAGAACTCTGGAATTCAATTTTCACAACATCTGGTTGATTCTTGATGTCCTGTTTCAACTCCAATGGTTCTTCAATTTTTTTTGGCTCTACAAAATCTCCATTATTCCTATGGGATTCACTTTGTACAGAATTTACTTGATTATCTGAAGTATCAGAACATATTATTTCATTGGCAACAAGAGGCACCCCTCCATTTGTGGCTGGCTCGTCCACCACTGGAAATTTCAGGGCATCTTTGGAACTCTGGAATTCAGTTCCCACGACATTTGATTGGTTCTTATTGTCTTGTATCAACTCCAATTGTTCTTCAATATTTCCTGGCTCTACAAGATCTACATTGTCTGTAATTTGATCTGTGATTTTACTATCTTCTTCTAAATGTTCATGAGCCTTGCCAAGATCTCTAGTGCTGGTAATTTGATCCATGTGTTTACTACCTTCTTCTGAATGTTCATGAGTTCTGCCAAGATCTCCATTGCCAGTACTTTGATCCATGTTTTTACTTCCTTCTTCTGAACGTTCATGGTCCCTGCTAAGATCTCCATTGCCAGTAATTTGATCCATGTTTTTACTTCCTTCTTCTGAACGTTCATGGTCCCTGCTAAGATCTCCATTGCCAGTAATTTGATCCACGTTTTTACTTCCTTCTTCTGAATGTTCATGAGCCCTGCCAAGATCTCCATTGCCAGTAATTTGATCCACATTTTTATTTCCTTCTTCAGATTGTTCATGATCCAAGTCGGATCGACGTCCAGAAGAATCTTCAGGACCACCATGAAAGTATTCGTCCAATTTTAGATCAGTCTCTTCCAATGAACTTGTTATCTTTCCATCATCCTCTTGTTTCATCAATATCTCCAACCCACCATCAACATTTTCTCTGGTTTTCACTGTGTTTTCCATGTTCGCTAGAGCTTCTGGATCTTTTTGATCAATAATGTGATTTGTGGCCTTTTCATCATCTGTGGGAATAAATAACTCCTGAAACAGAGTGAATCAGCTGTATGTTTTAATCATGGAAGGAGACCATATGTAAAGTAAATTTACGTTCAATTTCTTTTATTTTATGATTTTATAAAATTTAAAAATGTTATCAAACAATCTTCAACGTGATTTTCTACTAACATTTCTCATTTCTAACTTATGTAACTAACTAAAACATCCAGATATGTTTACAATGCATTTGCATGAGTTTAGAGTCACAAAATATATTGATGATCAGAAATAGAATACAATGTTTTTCTACTTTCATTTTTTATATTTCCGTTATTTTCTTTTTCATTTTAGTAATATTTATAATGTTACGTGAAAGAAAACTACTTCTGAGTTTTTTTTTTAAACTTCCAAGAACATAATAACATTGTTCTCCTGTTAAAATGAAAAACAGAAGCGTTTTATTTAAGAGAACCCTTAATACAAGTACGTATCAGTTATAATTCAAACAATTTTGATGAAAGCACCCTCAAATGCTGAAATATCTTGTTCATTTTGGTTACTTTGTTGGGTATGTCAAATTCATGTTTAGCGCACCTCAAATCGATAAAAAGAGCTAGAGTACTGACCTCGGGCATTTGGGAGACAACTTGAGAAGGTTGATCCACCAGCTCCTCGGCCATGGGACTTAGAATAGTTTTAGGGGGCAATGCTTCAGTGACATTCATTGCCTTTACTTCTTCCTCCTGTGAATCCAATACAATCTTGTTAGACCGCAACTCTAACAACGGACTCGTGTTATCTTGTTTACCTCCAAAACTTGCCTCCTTTTCAACCTCCCAGTCAGGGTTCAATGATTCTCCATCAGTATTGTTCCCATCAACAGTCGGAGGGGAGCCAATTTCAGAAACCTCCACTTGCAGGTCAGAAGCAATGGAGTAAGTTGGAGTCTGACATGGAACTTTATCTGGATAGGGTAAACGCTCCTCCATTTTGTTCTTATTAAATGTCGTGGGGCTAAAATCACAGAGAGGCTCCTTTATTAATTTTTTCTTTGGTACTCTACAGCTCAATGATTTGTGCAGTGCGTTGCTCAATTTTGACTCGAAGTTTTTTGAAACTACTCTCACGTCATCACAGATCACCTCTCCGGGATTATCGGATGAAGATGAATGGCTTGATTGGCTACTAACGTCTTGCGTCAGCTCCAGCTCCAGCTCTATTTCAAATTCACTCTGGGAATCTGGCGGAATCTCCTTCTCCTGACCGCTTTCGAGCTCCAATTCATTAACATCCCTGGCCTGTGGTAAATCTTCAGTTTGAATGCCTCTGGCTTCTACAGCAATAGGTTTCTTCTTTTCAGTTTGAGGGTCGCTTTTAAATAATAGCTGTTCGATTAGCCAGTCATGTTCACCTTTATCTGCAATCGAAACTAAAACAAAGACCATAGTTTTGAAGTCAGTTCAGTGGTGCCTTCATCCTTTTCTCGTCAGATTGAATTTGAAAGGGAGGGGGATTTCAAAACTTATTTCGAAAAATATTTTAAAATAATCATAGTAGTTTTATACAATTGAATTTAAAATTTCCCAACATGCTATATTAGAACTTTTCATTTAGCATATTTCAATTAGTTAAGAAATGTATCAAAAAGATTATCAATTCAATCTCCAACTCCACATGTTGGTTGAACTAAAGAAAATAAATCTGAACTTTCAAAAATAAATATTTTTGTATTCACTAAATTATTTTGCATCTTATATCTCTTCAACATATGTGGTTTCAATATAAGTTGCATTAACACATTTAGCTACATAATCCATTTGTTAATATAGAAAAATAAAGGAAGGCAAGATGATTCAAGAATTAGAATAGATATTTTGAAATTTTATCCAAATAGACAAAGTTTGAAGAACGAGATTAAACCTTAAAAAATCTTAAAACCAAATTGAAATGACGCACAACAAGCCACATGAACGAAATTATAACTTAACTTATACTTTTATTCCATTCAATGCTATAAATGATCGTAAAAATCATTTGTTAATATTTTATCTAAAGAAAAGAAGAATAGTTCCTGGTCAATTAGTCGTGAAATCAGATGATGAAGAAAAAACAAAAAGTGAAAGAATTATCTTACTTGAAGGTCTTCTATATCTGTGGTGGTATCCCAGTCCCCCACTTTCTTCTGAGTAAGCGGGTCCAAGACAAAAGCTCTCGTGCCTGCAGAATGTAAACTCCTGTTGAAAGCTATCGGCCATAAGATTTGGTTTCTCTTCATGTGGATCATATGGAAGATCAAATGGATTTCTCATTGGCAACAAAACGGAAGGAGCAGAACCAGGCAATGGTATGCCTTCTATCTCTCTACCACCATCCGTCGAGTCAAGAGGATCATTCCTTGTAGTGACAATTTTGGGAATATGACAAGGAGGAAGAATGTCGACTGTTAGAACAATTTCTTCATTTTTCCGTTTGTACAACTTTCTGGCTCTTCTCTTAGCAATAAGGCTCTCCAATCTTCTGTTCCTTTCAATCTCTGAAAGCCCAAGATCCATCAGATTCTTCTGATCATCTTCTGTCCACTCCACAGCTTTATTCCTATCCTCTTGCGCTTCTTCTTCATCCTCATCCTCTGGATCTTCTGAGCTTTTGTTTTTCTGCTCATCGCCACTGCTATCAGATTTATTAGTCTGAGAGCTTGAGCGATCACAAAGTACCAGATCAGACTTTAATGGTAACTCCAAGCCCGAAATTGGTTCCTTTGTGCTGGAAACTTCAATACTCTTATCAACTGATGTACTGGAAACTTCAATACCCTTATAAACTGATGTACTAAGAGCGGATGCATTATTTCCAGAATCAAGAGATTGTGTTTCTTTCACCTCAATTAATGATTTTAAGTAATCGAATTCAACCGACAGATCCGTCCTGACTACCGGAGATTTAGTTGGAGTATCTGTTCTGCTCGTTTCACTCTTTTCTTTGAATCGTTGTCGCCGACTAGTTGCATTGCGTAAGTATGCGCTACGATTTCTATTAATTGTGGCCGTCGACTTTTTAGGGACCTCTGGTTTTTTATCTTCTACTTTCTCACCTCGAATTGTGGACCTTTTAGAAGTCCGAAAGGCAAGGATAACTCCAGTTAAGCCAAGAAATGGCAAACTGTAAAACAGAATACTAAGAACAGAAGGCAGAAAAATGTACAAAACGAAGAGAAACAACAATGTACCAGACATGTAAGGATGCTGCTGTACAAATCTATGACTAACCCTAACGGACAAATGAACAATTCTACAAACGCATAATTTGATATCTTCCATATCGATTCCCATCTCTCTTCAATACAACTAGATTTGACCTAGCTAATCCAAAAAAAATATAAACTAACAATCAGGATCAAGGATCAGACTAATCAATCAGAAAAAAAAAAAAAATATATATATATATATCAGGATTCCCCGAGACAACGGAGGTGAAAAACGACGCAGAAAAATGGACGTTAAAACTGATAATTGAAACAATCTTGTTTGTCAAAAGAAAACTTGCCATAAAATTACGAGCTGGAAGATTGATAGAAACACTTCACAATCGCAGCATCAACGTTCTCCCATTTTTAGAAAATCTTTGGATTGGCCGATTAGCAGAGAAGAGAGATCCTCAATATCAGGGCCCTTTTCTTTTGAACGTTGAGAGACAAAATAGCAAAAAAGGTAGCCGAAGGAAGGCGCGCATTTTGACATCCTGTTTTTTCTCTTTATCCGCTTTCCTTCCATTCATAAAATATGGGAAACTTCTTTTTCGTTTACAATTTTATAAATTATCTGAAAATTTAAAATTATCGTTTAATTAAGTCTCATAAATTATTTTTTAATTCAAAGATTAAATTATAGATATTTTATTTACTAAGTATCCATTCTCTCTAATTACTCACAATTTTTTTTTTTGATGAATTTTATATTTAACTGGATTATTTTATTTTGGTTGATTAACGTAGAACATTTGCAAGAATGAAATTCAAAGGAATTGACAGGGGCCCACACAAGCGGTGGTAGGGACTATTTTGTAAATTTTAACCTTTAAATTTTTAAAAATTTTAAACAATTTCTCGTTTATCATATATATTTTTTATAGTTTCTTGAATACCTACGAACTTTAGAATTATTATATTTATGTTAAAAATGCTTATATCCTAAAGAGTTCGGGTTAGAAAATGAAAAGTGGAAGAAAGAAATTAAGAAGGAGAAACGAGAACAAAAAAGACGAAAAATGAAAAATTGTTGAACATATATTGAAATAAATAAGAGAAAAAAATCGAAGAGAGATGTTATAAAGTATAAATAAACAATTTAGTTAACCTGCTAACTATTATATATATATTAAGTATTAAATCATTTTTTAATGTTCATCATATCTTAATGGAATTAAGAGTATTTTTGAAGTTATTTTTAATACGAAATTTTAAGATATTTTTGAAACAAAACATTAAAAATTTTATTAAAATTATTATATTTAAAGTTTAAATATAATTTTAGAGATGGGTATTTTTTTTTTAATTTAGCCAATAAAATATTCTCCCATATCAATTTGTTTATATATATATATTTATTTATTTATTTCCTTAAAATTTGCATGAAATCCTCGTAATTTTGGTAGGTAGGTTCAAAATTTAATTCAGACCATAAAAATTCGTACACGTGGCAGCACCTTAACAAATCATTCAACACCAAGAAAATCGACAGCATAATCCTTTGGAGTTACCGGCGGTAAAATTTGGGTTATATTCCCGCGTAGGTCTTTAGTTTGAAAAAAGTAATTTTTTTTTAACAAATTATAGAAGAGTATTTATAAATATTAAGGACTAAATTTTAACTTTTATAAAGTGTAATCTATCATTTGCAATAAAATATAAGAAAATACGTGTCACATTCTCATCGGTCAGAACCAGACCTGCGAACGCATCGCACTGGATAAAAACCCAATGTAAGGCCGGGCCCACGGATAAGGCTACGAAGCAGAAGGTGTAAAAACCAAACCAACGATCCAAATTCCTTTCCTCACCTTCATCTAACGGTCTAAATTGCAAGTTGAATTTTCCAATCACATTTCCCCGCCCTTTCTATATCTTGTTTTTTTTTTTTTACCTCTCACTTCTGCCGCAATTTTTCCAAAATTTTTCTCCAGGTGCACTGCTCACGTCCATAGGGTTTTTTGTTTTTTTTTTTTTTGTTTTTTTGTTTTTTTGTTTTTTTGGTTAGTATAGATTAAAAAATTAGGAAAAATACATAGTTCAATTCGGAGATTTTGATTTTATTTCGGATTCTGGAGTTCCGAAATGTTATCGGTAGAGCCTTTAAGTCCGGTAATTCGAACCAAGTTTCATCTCGATTCGAATTGTAATCTACGTAGTTGGAATGGATTGGGGGTTTTCCGTTGTAAATCCAGGGTATATCACCAGGATTCAAACCGTTTTCTTCTGAATTTGGTGCCCTTTCCCTCTGTAAAGTTGTATAGATTAGCGCCTTCGAAAAACTCGGATAGATTCAATCTTTGGGGAGGTTTCGCGGGGAATTTCGGGTCGAGGAGTATCAGGGTATGTGCAAATAGTAGAGATAGTGATTCCACAGGTGGTTCAGGGGAGAAGAGTGAAGCTAAACCTAGCGAAACTCAGGGGGTTAATAAGAACACAACGAATTCTGGTTCTTCGTCCAATCCAAGGAGGGAGAAGCACGGAAAAGGAGGGGGTTGGTGGTGGTCTAAAGGCGGAAAATGGCGGTGGCAACCTATAGTTCAGGCCCAAGAGATTGGAATTTTGCTTCTGCAGCTCGGAATTGTAATTTTTGTTATGCGATTGCTTCGTCCTGGGATTCCATTACCGGGCTCCGAGCCGAGGACTCCCACGACATTCGTAACCGTACCTTACAGTGACTTCTTAAGCAAAATCAACAGTAATAACGTGCAGAAGGTAGAGGTTGATGGAGTGCATATCATGTTTAAGTTGAAATCTGAACCAGGTGCTCAGGAAAGTGAGATAATCAGTGGAAGCAAGCTGCAGGAATCAGATTCATTGATAAGAGGTGTTAGTCCGACTAAAAGAGTAGTTTATACAACTACAAGGCCAAGTGATATTAAAACTCCATATGATAAGATGCTTGAAAACGCAGTGGAATTTGGGTCACCAGACAAGAGGTCAAATGGATTCTGGAACTCTGTAATGGTGAGCTTTTAAATGTTGTGTTATGCTACTAAAGATCTTTCTGAAGTTAAGTGGACAGTTATCTTATTTTCTATGTATGTGATATCTTTCAAAACCATGTCCAAATACTGCTAGTTCTAGCTTGATTATAGCAGAGTGATTATTATCTTGCTAGCACGAAGAACAAGCGGGTTCGATGGCTTTTAAATGTCTGTTGGAGCTCTAAACTTACATGTCGGCGATAGCTTTTATAAACGATCTATATATCTTCAAGTGCAACTAAAACATGCTCTTACTATGTCATATTTTGAAGAAAGGCATGGGAACAATGAAAAGCATGAATTCAACTGTAACTTTATTCTTTTACGCCTCTTATGTGCTTCAACTATATCATTTATTACAGAATTTTAAAGTGGCAAAACATATACTTGTTTTGTGATTTCTAGATAGCTCTGTTCTATGTTGCTGTGCTTGCTGGCCTTCTCCATCGGTTTCCTGTAACCTTTTCACAGGTACGAGATGGCAAGCTTCTTTTTGTTTTACCTTCTGAAATGTACTCTCCTTATTCTGATCGGGTGCCTGCTTGTATTTAGCATACAGCTGGTCAAATTAGGAACCGCAAGTCTGGGGGTTCTGGTGGGGTAAAAGTCTCTGAACAAGGTGAATCAATTACTTTTGCTGATGTGGCTGGTGTTGATGAGGCTAAGGAGGAGCTAGAAGAAATCGTGGTATGTTAGACATGGGTTTAGTTCTTTTCTTGCCCAATTAAGTCATTAATATCATCAACAATCTTTTGAGAACTTCTCACTTATTTGGGAAATTGTTTTTGTATAGTAACAATGTAAAATAAATATGCTTTACAGGAATTTTTAAGGAATCCAGATAGATATATTCGACTTGGTGCTCGGCCTCCTCGTGGTGTTCTTCTGGTGAGTTTTAATGAAAGAATAATGATGATTGTCAAGGGTCCATTTGGAAGAACTGCGTGCATGCAGAATCCATTTAAAAAATAAACTTTCAGAGTTTATACTTTCTTTTTTAAATGAAAGTTGTTATATTATATGTTATTAACCAATGTTGGTTGGACCAATGGTCCATCTATTGCACTTCTAAACTTTAAGTTTGGCTTTAACAGTTTGATACATTTAATCTCATTTTTTTTCATTTGCATATCAGACCAAGAAATCGAACTTACAGTTAAAAGCACTGTATACACTTTTCTAACTCTATGCGTTGTTGATGGTTCAAAAAAAGATCTTTTAGGGAAAAACTATTTATGATCTACACCCTCATTTCGTTTTTTCAAATTTCCAACAGTACACATAAAAAGATTCCCAAGTACTCATTGATTGAACGAATAATTTTTTCTCAAGAGTACACTTTTTTTTACACAAATCAAACCAAAATTCTGCTTCCATTTGAAAAAGATTGACGCTTTTTAGTTTGATATATGTTTTATCTAAATATCCATGTCATGGTTGGACTTAAGTCTGTGTATTTGTATTACTATCTACAGACACTTGAATATGCTTATTTAAGATGCATCTATGCCATTCAAAATACCACTTAGCTTTTTAAACCCAATGAGGTGAACTTTGGTGGTGCATCTGCAATTTGCAATTTCTTTCAACTTCTATGATGTATTTGACTAATCAAAATCCTTGTTGAGCTCTTAGCACACCCCATTGAGTGCTGCTCAATTTTCGTTTCTCTACTAGGCCTTCTTCTCCTATCAATATGACACCCCTTTTAGAATAGAATGATATGCTAGATGGGCTACGTGTCTATTCGATTGTACATTAGTATATTTCAGCTTATATTCATGTTCATTGGTATATTTTGGAAATGTATGGGCTAGATGATGCAGACCAGCAAGCACGATCCTTTCTGGTGAATTGTTCCTTTCATTTTTATGCAAATAAAATGGGATTCTGGTATATAAAGTTTGATTATCTTTTTTAATTGTACAGGTGGGTCTACCAGGGACAGGTAAGACTCTTTTAGCCAAGGCTGTCGCTGGGGAAGCTGAAGTACCCTTCATAAGTTGTTCTGCTAGTGAATTTGTAGAACTGTATGTTGGCATGGGTGCCTCTCGCGTGAGAGATCTCTTTGCACGGGCAAAGAAAGAGGCACCATCAATCATCTTTATTGACGAGGTTAGAACAAGTGATAGTGACTATTGAATAACTAGTATAATCTTTAAAATTCTTACAGTCAAATCCCCGCCTTCTTGTAGATTGATGCTGTAGCAAAAAGTCGTGATGGTAAATTCCGTATTGTCAGCAATGATGAAAGGGAGCAAACCTTGAATCAGTTGCTTACTGTAGGTTTCCATGCGTGAGTCTTCAGCTTCCAAATTATATTATGTTAGCCAATTAGCAATAAGTTCAATGGGTTTTAAATTTCTTTACAGGAGATGGATGGGTTTGACAGCAACTCTGCTGTCATTGTTCTAGGTGCTACCAATCGATCAGATGTTCTAGATCCTGCTCTTCGCCGACCTGGAAGATTTGATCGCGTGGTTCAGGTTTGTGACCTGTATTATGATTCTGCTACTTGTCCAAGTTGAGTGATAATAAAGTTAATCTCAACGTTTTTTTTTTTTTTCCTGGTCTCCCACACTATTTCTTAAAAATTCTAGGTGGAAACACCCGACAGGACTGGAAGGGATGCAATTTTGAAAGTACATGTTACCAAGAAAGAGCTCCCCCTTGCGGATGATGTCAACCTCAGTGATATTGCTTCTATGACCACAGGCTTTACAGGGTATTTTGTATTCCCTTTCTATCATTTCTTCTGAGACGCGTTTCTAGTTCATGAATCTTAGTCCTTTGTGATGAGTTGATTTAAATTGGATTGAAATTTATACATATTACAGGGCAGATCTGGCAAACCTGGTTAATGAAGCTGCTCTTTTGGCTGGAAGACAGAACAAAATTGTGGTGGAAAAAGATGATTTTATTCAAGCAGTGGAGAGATCTATAGCTGTAAATATTTCTCCCTCTCACACACACGCCATACACATTCACACGCACACCTCCCTTAAATGAAAAAGAAAGGAAGCTCGTAAAGAAGGGCACTACTAGCTACCTTGAAACTCATTAGATATTTTAAGACAATAATTGTGGAACTAATTGGCTGGTTTATTTGCAATTCTACACGGCATCATTTTTCAAGGGACTAAGCCGCTCACTAAGATTACGACAATATGTAATAATGTCTATCTGATGGGTTGATATGAAATCTATTGGCTAAAAGAGGATTAGGGGAGAGATCCTTTGGAGTGAAGGACGCTCTATGCCTTGTTTGCATTTGGATTGATTGATTTTTTTTTTAAATGATGTAAATTATTTGTTGCAGGGCATAGAGAAGAAAACTGCCAAATTGCAAGGAAGTGAGAAGACTGTAGTTGCACGACATGAGGTTGGTCATGCAGTTGTAGGCACAGCTGTTGCAAATCTTCTACCTGGACAGCCGCGTGTAGAGGTAGTAATAGAAATATGTTTAAGAAAGACGATTTAATGATTTATTGTTATGTGTTTATTTTTGTTGGCAACAGACAGATATAGTTCTAGTTTTGTTATTGGGGCTTTAGGATCATTTGAGTAGTTTAGCTTGCCTAACTTATGAATCAGGATGAGTTTAGTAGATTTCAACGAACACTTTTATTTTTTCGTATAACCAAGTGAATGTTTTTGTCTAATTATTTGAGGCAAGTAAATTTTTCATTCAATAATAAAATCCTTCTTAATTTAAATTATAATAGTGATTATATATCGTATTTTATTGGCCTACTTTTGCGAGGTCAACAATGTTTTTCATATATCCTTGCGAACTACTGAGTATGCCGTTCTTAGCATTGGATTTAAGCTGTTGGTCTATATCATGTTCGTTTCTGCCTGCTACTGCACATTAACCTTGAATTTGTCTACCTTGCTTAAAATGTATTTAGGGATGCTGTTTCTCCTTAGCTCTAGACCAAGCAATTCTTGCTGTTTTGACAAACCAATCTGACTTGTTCAATATGTGGAACTATTGATTGATTGTTGGGCACTAAAGTTCTAGTCTTACTTTAGTTTATGAGGTTGAATATATAGTAAATATTGTCCGAGCCCCAAAAATGAAATCCTTTCATGAATGTTTTTATCAGAAATTGAGCATACTACCAAGGTCAGGAGGGGCACTTGGGTTTACCTATATTCCTCCAACAAATGAAGATAGATATTTGCTCTTCATTGATGAGTTGCGTGGCCGTTTGGTTACGCTTCTGGGAGGACGTGCAGCAGAAGAAATAGCCTTTTCAGGTCGTATTTCAACTGGAGCACTTGATGATATCAGACGAGCAACCGACATGGCATACAAAGCAGTGGCTGAATATGGTCTGAACCAAACAATAGGCCCGGTGTCCATAGCAACGCTTGCTGGTGGCGGAATCGATGAGTCTGGGGGAGCTGTCTCTTGGGGAAGGGACCAGGTTCCGAATATCGTACAATTTCTATTTTTATTTATTTATATGTTCTATGCTGTCCATCTTAATTATAATATACGCAACAGGGACATCTTGTTGATCTTGTTCAAAGAGAGGTTAAAGCATTGCTACAATCTGCTCTCGAGATTGCGCTTTTAGTCGTGCATGCAAACTCAGCTGTCTTGGAAGGGCTTGGTGCCCATTTAGAAGGTGATATTCCTTTTTTCTTTTTTTCTTTTTTTTTTTTTGTGTGTGAATTCTGATAGATGTAGAGTTAAAGATAATCATTTGTCTCGTTTGCTAGAAAAAGATAAGGCAGTGACTTGAACTAGATGAAAACCTTGACAGAAAACGATTTGGACAAACACAGAAATCCTGATCTTTAACAAAACTAGCATTGAAGATTTATTTTTCATTTCAATTGTCTTAGGCAAAGAAAAAGTAGAAGGTGAAGAGCTGCAACAGTGGTTGAGAATGGTTGTTGCACCAAAAGAACTGACAATCTTCGTAAGAGGCAAACAGGAATCTCTTCTCCCCGTACAGTCCGTGAACTCGGCCCCATCTTCATAGCCATCGTGTACAATTCTTGTATACTAGAGTGAACTAAATTTCGGCCCATTTTTTTGTAAGATGCCTGCTGGTTGGATGTGTCATCCACAAAATGGAAGAAAAAATACCAGCAAAACAACCACCAGCAGCTGCCTAAGCACCTCGTGTTGGAGCCATGTTCAGGTATGTTGCCATATCAAACTTTAATGTTCTCAATCAGCTATGCATTGGTCGCAATTTTAGCAGTATCCAACTTCATATCTGTAATTTATTACCCAGCTTTATAAACTGCTGTACTGTAAATATATAGCGTTTCCATAAGTTACAAATGAATGAAGTCTGGGTCATTGTACTCTCTCAAATGTTATCAGTCATTCTTCATTCAACAAGAATTTGTGCATTTTCTTTAGACTTTTGTTGATCATAACCTCTCCTTTTTTCTATCTGTGTCTGTCTAGCTTAGCAATGTTAGAACTGCATGAAGTCTGGGTCATTTTTCGTGTACTCCCAAAAGTTTCAAGCCGTCAGTCAACCGAAATCGGAATGTGAGCATCTCTTTTAGTACCTATAATTCGATAAAACTTTATAAATAGTCTTTACTGTTTGATAAAACACTAACTTTCAAAATCATAGGTACTAAATTCTAAGTTTCTCCATAGAATCCATAGGATAAAGACCGACTTTATAATTTAGCCATTCCTTTTGTTGATCATAACTTGTCTTTGGTTGTCCGCTCTCTCTGGCTAGTTACTGCCATAAGTTACATCAAATCATCATTCAACAGGAATTTGTGCGTTTTTTACCTCTATTATTGAACATAATTTTTCTTCCTCCCTTGTCGAGCAAAGCTACAAATGCAGGACATTGGTCCTTTTACTAATCTTCCAAAATTACAGGTCATTCACCATTTAACCGGGATTGTGTGTTTTTTTAATGTTCACTTTTGTTGATCATAATATGCCTTTGCTTTTGTGTAACGACTCAAGCCCACTACTAGCAGATAGCCTAAAGATGAACTTGGACTATTACAACCCTTTGAGCCCTCTTTCACGCTTCTCCTTTAGATTTTTTAGTTTTTCCTTGTAGGTTTCCCCATTTCATTTATGTTAGGAAGATGTTTCCACTCTTATAAGTAATGTTTTGTTTCCTTCTTCAACCGATATGGGATCTCACAATCCACCCCTTAGGGACCCAATGTCCTTGCTGGCACACTGTCCAATGTCAGGCTCTAATACCATTTGTAACAGTTCAAGTTCACCGCTAGCAAATATTGTCCTTTTTGAACTTTCCTTTTAAGGTTTTCTCTCATAATTCTTAAAATGCGTCTATGAAGTAGAGGTTTCCACAACTTTACAAGAAATATTTTGTTTCCATCTCAACCACTACGGGATCTCACATTGTTTACATCAACTATTATTCAACATAATTTCTCTCTAGTTGAACAATGTTCACGTGAAGTTCAACCATTTTACTTGTACTCACAAAAGTTACCAATCCTTCAATCATTCTGTGTAGGAATTTGTGCACTTTTTATCCTCCATAATTTCGGTTGTTATTATTGTTATTATTATTTTATATTTATTCCTTTGGTCTCTTGCTAAGTTTGAGATCTGAATTCAAATTTTTAATCTCTTAGTCAATGACATATACTTTTAAATTGAGAATATATACACGTGGCATGAAATGTAAGTACTAAAAATTATTGGGTTACTCTCTCCAAATTCTATCCTTACAAAATTAATCGCATCCGAATTTTTTCGTTCTTCGTTCATCGTTCATGATCCTCACCTCTCTTCTCCATCTCTGTTTGTCTCTCTCTCTCTCTCTCTCTATCTGAGCATTTTCTGCATCATTCAGATATTATTTCATAATAGGAATGGGCTTTGGCTGTTTGAACTTCATCCACATATATGAGGGTGGTGAGAAAGTGAAAGCTTTGTGGGTGTGGTGATGATATTTTGGAAGCATATAACTAAATATCAATGTTGCTATCTGAAAAAGAAGTCAACAAAAAATTGGCAGGTTTTGAGTGATCATAATGCTTCTTTCTTGCCATGAATTGATTGCCATTTCTATGTGTCGCATTGGAACGGTGGGCGCCAGAATTCCCAATTGTATCTGTTCTTTCTGTCTTTTGTGCTTGAAAGAAGTGCTGCCCTTGAATTCTGATAATTGGATGAATAACTATATTTTAAATTAAAATATCAATTGGAAGACGTCAAAAATATTATTGGACAGTGGAACGAAACATTCTTCTTTTCCTATTTTGTTCTTCATAGTGACAAAGTTTTACAAACTTTGAGAGAAAGTTCAAAAGGAAAATTCCAAAAAAGACTATCTATTTGCGGTAGGCTTGAACTGTTAACAAATAATATCAGAGTTAGATAACGAGTGGTGTGCCAATGAGAACGTTGGGTTTTGAGGGGGGAGGTGGTGGATGGTAAGATCTCACATTGGTTGTAGTGAGGAACCAGTGTTGGTGTTGACAAAGACGGCCCCTAAGGGAGTGGATTGTGAAATCCCACATTAATTGAAAAATGAGAATGCAACATTTTATAAAGATATAAAAAGGCTAACCTAGAAGATAACAGGTAGAGAGTTATGGTAATAAATTACAAATAATTTAAATAATATATAATTAAAATAAAATAAAATTATATTTATCCTTTAAATGTTGTACTAATTTTGATTAGCTTCTATACATAATTTTTATATTAGTAATCTTATAATTGGAATGTAATGCAATTAAAAAAGAAACTGATGGGGCAAAAGAGGGAAAAAAAAAAAAAAAAAAAAAAAAGTGGGACCCAGTTGGGTGCCGTTTGCATGGACGGTTGTGGGTCCCACCCGAACCTGTGCGTGCAAAGCCCTGTTAAAACGGAAAAGTTTCTCCAATTTTTATTTAATTTTAGAAACGATTCTTACGACGGTTAATAAAACAATTTAAATTAAGTTAAAACATTAAAATAATAGTTTATAATACAATTATTTATTTATTTATTTATTCCGCTGCCAATGATCTCGACATTTTCTTACATCCTTAGCAACATACTAACACAAGTCATTTCAACATGTTTTGTCTTTATTCACTTATTTGTTTCAAAAAGTCATCTAATATAAGATTACTCCAAGCAAAACATACCTAACTTTAGAGTTTATACGGATAAATCATTGAAAAGTAAATATTTTTTAGTCATTCTACTCTTAAGACATTGATGTGATATCAGTTCATTCATGTACTCTCATTTACTTCTGTGTCACATTAAATTTGAAGATAAAAAATTAAGTCAATAAATGATTTAATTAACCATCAATTAAATAAATGACAGATGAGATGTAAGAGATAATTTAGGGGAGTAGATTATATATATAGATATATTATAATAATAATAAGTTATTTAAAATTTCAAGGGTATTAATTAGTTTTTAAGAATCTAAATATATTAATTAATTAAGTAAATAATGGTAATATATTTGTAGCCTCAAAATTAAAATTTATAGAAAAAGAGAAATCCAAAAATCTAGCGGTGGGTGGAGAGAGGGGATATTTGGGATATTAAAATATAGAGAAAAAAAGGAGATATTTTAATTGTCAGAGTCAGAAATATCTAGCCCGGAGATTCAGCCACGTCGGCATCCTTTTCATTACCATTTTTGAAAGTACGAAGACGACATTTATCCCTCTCTGCTTGTCAATAAGAGCCAAGCCTCTCCCATACTCTGCTCGAACGGCGGTATTAACAGATAAGATTCAACTCCCCAGGTTCTTCGACAAACCCTACATCTTTTCCATTTCGTCGTTTTAATTTCATATTACCTGCGGCTTGATTCTTTCTTCGAACGCATTTCATGTACTGCCTTGTGTTTCGAATCAATTTTCTGTGATCATTCTTGAGTTTTTGTTTTCCGAATAGATGTCGATTTGATTGCTTTGTTATATTGTCTTTGTTGCATGAGTTGCTGAGTTCTATTGACGATCTTGTTATCGCTTGTGTTTTCTTTTGACTAGATTTGTTGTTGATCAGCCAGTGAACTGAAACTTTGCATGGTTTAAAGATTTCGTTATTTTGTGACTATATCATCTGGTATCTGCTTTGTTCTTCTTATTACCAGCATTTCTTTAACCTGCTACTTGAATGTTGGATTGAGGCGTTCATTGAGATGTATTATAGTAGCGATGCTGATTTTTTTTTTTTTAATGATGCAAAGATATTGTTATTTTGAAAGCATGTCGTAGAGAATATGATTTGTTCTTACTCAAATCTGTGCATTTTCTTTCATCGATTACTTGAATGTTAGATGAGCCGTTGATTGAGCTGTATTACGGTAATGCTTTTTGTGTTTTCAGCTCATGCCTCATCTCGGAGTCTGATTTTGAACGGCATGTTAATATATATTCATGAAACTCATTGAAAATTTTCTCTCTTAATTTTTCATTTTCTTTCACCTGCTAATTATAACGAAGTAATAGCAGAGTATCATTGACTTGATAATCATACAAGGCTATGGCCGCTCACTTATCGAAATGAATTTGAATTTAACCAGAAGCTACTCAACCAACTTACATAACACTGTGGTTAACAATAAAAATTTAGAAGGCTAACTGAGCTAATTTAAATGTGAAGTAGCTAACAACAATTGGTTACTCACAACACTGCTCGAGTGTCAGATTGAGTTCTACTAAGAAAAGGCTTTTTGTTATCTCTGTTTTTTTGGGTCTGATTTTGAAATTCATATTATTATCCTTATGAAGCTCGTTGTGCCTGATTCTGACAATCATTTATCAAGTTCAAGAGACTCTTTTCTTCTTCTTCGATGGTAGGATTTTGACCATTAATTTTTTATTTTCTAGATCAAAGATGTCGTCAATTCAAGCTACCATAACACCTGCTGTTGGAAAGAGTGGGAACCGTTCCTACTCTACGAAATTGCTTAAGTCTGCCTTCTTTCCTGGGTTTGATGTGGTTGGTCGTGTTTCCGGTGCATGCAAGGAATTACACCCTTCATCTATTACCTTAGCACCTAGGGCCACTTTAACCTTTGACCCCCCAGAAACCAGTACGGAGAAGGCCAAAAACAAGAAGCATACAGTTGATCCTTCTTCTCCTGATTTTTTGCCGCTTCCTTCATTTGAGCTGTGTTTTCCAAAAAGCACAAAAGAACACAAGTGAGTGAATTCATTGGAGTATCGTCTTGTTTCATAGTTCATGTAACTGTTGCAAAGCTAGATAGATGATTATTGTAAACTGATATCATATACATCTGCAATTATTGATGCATGTTTTGCTATGCAGGGAAATTGTTCACGAAGAAACTGGGCATGTGCTCAAAGTACCCTTTCGACGGGTTCATTTATCTGGTGATGAACCAAACTTTGACAATTATGACACTAGTGGTCCTCAAAACATTAG